TCTTTCTTTCTTTCTTTCTTTCTTTCTTTCTTTCTTTCTTTCTTTCTCTCTCTCTCTCTCTCTCTCTCTCCTTCCTTCCTTCCCCTCTCTCTCTCTTTTTCTCTTCCCCTCTCCCCCCCTCCTCTTTTCTTTTCTTTTCTTTTCTTTTCTTTTGAGACAGGCCCTTTCTATGTAGCCCTAGCTGGCCTCCAACTCACAGAGTTCCACCAGGCTTTCCTCCCAAAAAATAGAGTCACAGTTTGTAGCCCCAAAATGCCCGAACTCACTATGTATCCTATGATGGTCCTGAACCTGTGGTAATCCACCTTCCTCTGCCTCCTGAGTGGTAAGATTAAAGGTGTGAGCTATCAATTCTTTGCCTTAGTAATCTCATTTTTAAAGATTTATTTTGGTTATATTCTTTTAATTATGTTTAAATGTATGTGTGTGTATGAGTGCCAGCCACAGAGGCCAGAGGTGTCAAACTTCTCTGGAGCCAGCATTCTAGGTGGTCGAGACTGATACCTGACACGGGGGCTGGAAACTGAACTTGGGTACTCCGGAAGAGTACACCAAGCTATTGTCCAGTGAGTCCTCTCTCCACCCCTCCCCTCTTTGAAAAGATTCATTTGTTTTTATTTTATATGTATGGATGTTTTTTTGCTTCCATGTACACATGTGCACCACATGTATGTAGTGCCCTTGGAGGCCAGAAGAGGGTGTCAGGTGCCCTGAAACTGGAGTTACAGGTGGTTGTGAGCCATCACTGGGTACTGGCAACTGAACCCAGGTCCTCTGCAAGAGCAGCCAGTGCTCTTAACGACTGAGTTACCTACCAGCCCAGGAACACAGCCAAAGAAAGGTAAGGAGATTGGAATTATTAAGTATCTAATAACAGTAAAATAAACTAATAATTACAGCTACGCACACTTAGGAAGAGGATCAAGAGTTTAAGAGCAGCCAGTCATGGTGGCATAAACCTTTAATCCCAGAACTTGAGAGGCACAGGAGGCAGATCTCAGAGTTTGAGGCCAGCATGGTCTACAAAGCAAGTCCAGGACAGCCAAGACTACACAGAGAAACCCTGTCTTGAAAAAACAAAAGAGTTTAAGGGCATTCTTGGCTATATGGCAAGTTTAACACCGTCTGGGCTATAAGAGAACCTGTCTCAAAAATAACAAAATCAATCAATATTTATAGCCATAGAGTAAAACATTATGTGGCCGGCCTTTATCTATCTATTCTATCTGATTATCTATCTATCTATCTATCTATCTATCTATCTATCTATCTACCCACCCATCCATTATTTATTTATGGTTTTTCAATAAAGGATTTCTCTGTGTAACCCTGACTATCATGGACTCACTCTGCAGACCAAGCTGGCCTCAAACTCTGAGATGCACCATTATGTGGCTTTTCCATCAAGTTTTTAAAGAACACTTAAGGATACTTCAAAAAAAAAAGAAAAGAAAAAGTAATAACTACACCCACAATAATAATTTTATATTATATATATGTATATAAATCTACTTATGTTGTTAGCTAAGAAGATTAGAATATGCCAAAATTGCCAATGCAACTCTCTCTGGAAATATTATGATCTTGCTTTTTAAATTTTTCACTCTTTCTAAAATATTTACAAAAAGCCTTTATATTTTAATACCCACAAAAAAGTGATAAATAATAGCACGCTGACTTTTACCTTCTTTCTTTTCCTAGAAGAGTTCTTTGTGGGATCAGGCTTTTCAGTTCCTTCTTCCTTTGCCTCTTCCTTTTCCTCTTCCTCTTCAGGGATCAGAGAATACTTGGTTCCTCCTGGCTGCATGAAACAGTCTTTTGCAAAGTGGCCTGTGGAACACAAAGGTTAAAGAGGTGAGAAGCCGCTTTCAGCCAGGCACAGTGGCACACACTTGTAATCCCAGCACTCTGGGAGACAGAGGCAGGTGTATCTCTGTGAGTGAGGCCAGCCCTGGGCTACAAAGTGAGTCCAGGACAGCCAAGGCTACACAGAGAAAGTCTGTCTTGAAAATACCAAAAAACAAAAAAAAAAAAACAAAAAACAACAAAAAAAAAAAAAAAAAAACAGGAAAAAAAAAGCAAGGATCCAACAGTTCAAAATATTAAGAGTTTATCTGGAGATACATTTCTGCCACCTCAAGGTGGCAATGCCCAGAGCCAGGCAAGCAGCTGCTGTTAAAAGCTGAGATGCTGGTGCAGCTTTGGAAATAGCAAAAGGTTCAAGAAAGCAGGCTCACGCTGCCCTCTCTTAGCAATGGGGCTTATTAATTTTTAAACATCTATTTTGGAACTCATTCCTGACAATGAGAGGCTGCTCCAGAGAGCAGAATGCTTAACAGAGGGAACTGAATTGCAGGCTAAGACCTAAAGGAAGATAGCTGGCAGGACGTGGGCATTCACATTCAAGCCAATACACACACACACACACACACACACCCTGAAAATTCAGACTGTCAAGTCTGGCAAGAGCTTTAGAGATCATGAAACCCAACACCCTGCATTCGGATCCGATACGAAGGCTAGAGTTAAGTAGCTCAGGGTCACACAGCAGCAAAGTGAACACTTAGTTCAGGTTGGATGTCTCCCTGTCTTGTGCTGCTTTTGATGTACCAAAAAGCCAGCCAGCTACCTTCAACCTGCCTTTTGCTGGCGGGTCAAATTCTATTTCTTGTTACTCGTCTTGCTTTATGAAACAAAGCAAATGCCGTTTAAGTACAGGTAGATGTAAGCACAGGGGCCCCACACTGGGCCTGCGATGTTACTGAGGGCCACTTTTGATGTTTTAGAAGATGAGTTGGGCTTTTATTTTTTTTAATTATGTGTATACATTAGCATTTGTGTGGGGGTCTGTAGGAGTGCAGATGCCCAAGGAGACCAGATGAGGGTGTCCAAATTCCTGGAGCTACAGGAATTTCATGTGAAGGAAAGAAGTGCCCAGAAGTCAGATGAGGCCTGGAAAGGGGACACAGCACATATTCCAAATATACACAATTTAATCAAGGGGTCTCGCTTCTCTCACTGTTGCATTCTCTTTCTCTTTCTGCATCAATAAAAATAGGGGCTTAAAACTCCACAAATTCAGGGTTGGAGAGATGGCTTAGCAGTTAAGAGCACTGGTGGTTCTGCCAGAAGACTCAGGTTCAATTCCTAGCACCTACTTGGCAGCTTACAACTGTCTGTAACTCCAGTTTCAGAGGATCTGACACCCTCACACAGCTACACATTCAAACAAAACACCAATGCATGTAAAAAAAAAAAAAAAAAAAACACAAACCCCACAAATTCAACCAGGACACAAATGTGCTACCAGTCATGGCAGAAAAATGAACAAAGAATGATGAATGGAAAGATAGGAAGGAGAAGTGACAAATTGAGGTCACTCTGAAAATGAGAAGGGAAGTCAGGCTAAAAAGCTTTTAATATTTGAGTAATAATAAGGTGAGGCCTGAGGAAATAGAGCAAAAAAGAAGTGACAGCCTCTATCTCTGTTATGAAAAGAGCACTGCATTCAGAATTCTGAACTTAATTCTGAGATAACGACAAGGAAGAAAGGGTCTAATTTGGATCCTTAAGGAATGTATCCCCAAGTCGCTTAATTTCTATAGAACAGCAATTGTGCTTGGAGATAAGTGTGTCAGAGGACCTGAGTGCAGCCAGCAGCTGACTGAAAAACACACAGTCCTTCAGCCTGCAGGGGTCCACAAGGAGAGGAGACAGAAATGCCAGGTTTCCCCTACCTTTGCAGCCACACTTCTTGCAGGTCGTGTTCAGGACAGCCTCAAGGGTGATCTTCTGCCCGGTGTAATCCTGGAAGGACCGCCTCCGCCTCTCTTCTTGCCTGTAATGAAAGAGATCCTGACCACTGGCACTTTTCAGAGAAGTGGCCAGATATATTACAGCGTAATGCTGCTTGTTAGTTTTTTGTTTTGTTCTTGGCAAGAAAAAGGTAAAGAGAAGAAAAGTGTTGGGCAAAATAAGACAATGAAACAGCTCCCTCTTTTTTTCCTCATTTAAGAATGAGGCTTTGAATTATCAATTACAAACAAGACTAGGTCTCCTCTCAATAATATACAGAAAAAGATATTTGAAAGTCTAATTTCCTGGTGGTGGTGGCTCACATTCTTAAACCCAGCACTCAGGAGGGAGAGGAAGCAGATCTGTGAAGTTTGAGGTCAGCCTGGTATATAGAGTGAGTTTAGGACAGCCAGGGCTACACAGAGAAACCCTGTCAGCAGGAGGAGGAGAAAAAGAAAGAGGAAGAGGAGATAAAGGAGGAAGAGAGGGAGAAAAAAGGAATAGGATGAGATAAAGGAGAAGGAGGAAAAGGAGAAGAGTAAGAGGAAGGAGGAGACAAAGATATAATTACTCAGTATGTGAAAATACCCTCAGCCCCTCTCAGGTCACTCAAGGATTTAAAAGACCTTTTCAGGCTTTCTAAAAATCAAACCTGAGTTCATTACAAGACCTTGGTATCAGGGCTTTTCGTTACCCTCTAACCCACTTTTCCAGACTCCTCTTTATTTTACTTAGTTAATTTTACCTTTCCCAGGTGTTGAGTGCCTCTCTGTAGGCAGGCTCCACTCTGCAACACCCTGCCTCTCTTGCTTTATTCTATCTCCACAATGCACCTCCCAAATGTTCCAAGGCTCCTCCTCTCTTAACATGATTTTGTTTATACTTCATCACACTTTTAATGAGCATAAGCTCTTGTATAAAAGACACACACACTTATGGTAAATATACACTCTTCTAGTTTTCACTGTCTAAACTTTCCCAATAACCAGCACCAGGACAGCATAACCAACCTGATGGTCATCTCATGCTTGTTCCTAAGTCAGGCCTACTCCCAGAGTAACCACCATTCTAATTTCTAACAGTACAAAATGACTTTTCTCTTTATAGTGGTTGGCCGCGATGGTATACTCCCATAGTCCCAGGACTAGGGAGGTTGAGGAGGGGGTTTCACAAGTTCTAAGTTCAAGACCAGTCTGAGCGATTCAGCAAGGAGCTGTCTCAAAATAAAAGTAAAGTACCTGAGATGTTAACTCAGTGTTAACAAAAGCCTAGCATACAAAAAGGCCTGGTTTCAACTTTCAGTACCAAGAGGCACATCTACACACATATACATAAACAGACACATACACATACACACACACACACACACACACACACTGGATACTTCCTGTTTGGTCCTGTTGTTTGTGAAACTCATCCACATTGTTGCCTATAGTTTGAATCATTTTCTCATTGGTATATAGTATTATTTTGCTGTTGTCAAAACAGACTGGCTTTGACCTCACAGAGATCCATCTGCCTCTGCTAGAACTGAAGCGATGTGCTGCTAGGTCCAGAGAAAAATGTAGTCACTAAATCCTTAAAATGTAGCTAGTGTGACTATGAAATCGATATTAATTTTGTAGGCCTGGAGAGGCGGCTCAGTGTTTAAGAACTCTTCTCTCTTCCAAACCGCTGAGCTTCGATTCCTAGCACCACGTACTGGCTCACAACCATCTATAACCTTAACTCCAGGAGACCTGACACTTTCTCCTGGATTCTAAGGGTACCAGACATGAGCGGCACACAGACATACATGAAGGCAAAACACCTATACAAACAAAATAAAAATGAAAATAAAATAAAACAAAAAAGATGTTAAATTTTACTTCTCTCTTCTTTTTGTGACACTGGGGACTGAACCTAGAGTTTCCTCTGTGCCAGACAAGCTTCATCCCTAGCCCTCCCTCCCATCCCCCACCCCTTCACTTTTCATTTTGAGACAAGAGTCTCACTAAGCTGCCTGGGCGGCAGCTAGGATTGTGGGTCTGCACCATCAGACCTAGTTCTTAAATTTTACTTAATTTTCTTTACTTTATATTTAAATAGCCCCATCTTATTCAAAGCTACCCAAGTGGACAGTATATAATCTATGTTCTGAAAATGTTTGCACAAATATCTGGTCTTTGCTCTACAGAACTGAAATGTATCAAGAGTCAATTATCAGGTACGAGTTATAAAATGAACCCTTTCAAACATAATAGTCTGAATAACAAAAACTACAGGCATCTGGGAACAGAGCAAATTACATGCTGACAGAGTTCCAAGTGTCCTTGTGTGAAGAGCAGAGTTTTACATGGTCCTGAGCTGCAGCTTAAACATCCTCATGAGAATGAATCCAGGACTCTGGGATTCTAGCCGCAGCACATGTTCAGACAAATCTCCCATGTAACAACAGTTAGCACTCACTTTCTGTCCTCACTGCCACTGTGATGGTCAGGCTTCATCACAGTTCACTAAAGCAGTGACTCCCTCAGTGGTCACCACGCCTCTGTGTTTTTTTTATGCAATTTACCAAGCACACAGAATAATTTTTTTTTTTTTTTCAGTTCAAGTAGTGAGGTATGCGCCAGTGTTAGTGTGAATGGCAAGAGCAAAGGAGCATCTGCCCCGGATGCACAGGCCTGAGGTGCAGTCCCCAGCACCACAGTAAAACAAAAGGAAGAGCCGTTCATTTTCTTTCTTTCTTTTTCTTTTTTTAGCCATTTCTTCTTTACTCCTGGGAGATGCCAGGCTAGCAGAGGGAGACACCTAAGCCATGTAAGTGTCTTTAAGATGAGTCCTCAGTGCGATGTCAGTTACGCCTGCCTGGAAACTCTCTTTAAAACCTTCCCACATATAGAGACACTTACAAGATGATGCTGAAAGGTAAGATCGGGCGAGCATTAGGAGGCAGAGCAAGCAGATCTCTGGGAGTCCAAGGCCAGCCTGAGGTACATAGTGAGGCTAAGGCCAGACAGGCTTACACTGAGAGAACCTGCTTGAAGAAACAAAACAAAATGGGAAAAAAGGAGGGTAAGGCAGCTAGACCTTGATAGAAAAATGAGACACTGGCCAAACGGACTAGCTGGAAACCAGAATGCCGAACATATTAAAAAGATATCGAGTTGGGGCTAGAGGAGACAGACTTGACTGGTCACCTCTCCCACTCACAGGACCCCCTAATGTGCTTTTCTGCCTGTGCCTTTCCTGACGTCTTCACCATCCAAAATACCATTCCTTCTCCTGTTTTCTGAAAAGACCATATCCATTCCCCAAGATCTAGCTCAAATATCACCCTCTCTCTGAACAGAACCCAAAATAAACTCCTTACCAACCTACACCATCCATGCTGCCTTGTACTGTTGAACAGATAGTGAATGAATGTTGTAATCACAGGAACACCAGACACCAAGTGCTACAGGAAACAAAGAGGGTAGGACAGGCACTTGTGCTCACGGGACAAACACATTCTTTCAACAGGGAAAGTGTGTCAGTTTCAGGATTGGGAAAAGCAAAGGAGCATTTAAAGTAATTATTACAAGTAGCTATATATACTGTTTATGATAGACTAGCCAATGAGATGGCTACCTGCTAATAAGTCTTTTCTTAGACTATTCTGTCATTTTTATTTTACTGCATTTATTATGTGTGTGCAGAGCTCAGAGTCAGTTTACAGGAGTCAGTTTTTCCTTCCACTTTCTGAGCTATGTCTCATTACTTCTGTTTTATTCGGGGGTGGGGGGGGAGTAGGACTGAGATTTACCGAGATTAAGAACCTGCTCAAGAGGCTGGAGAGATGGCTCAGAGGTTAAGAGCACTGGCTGTTCTTCCAAAGGTCCTGAGTTCAATTCCCGGCAACCACATGGGTGGCTCACAACCATCTATAATGAGACCTGGTGCCCTCTTCTGGCCTGTAGGTGTACATGCAGGCAGAACACTGTACACATAATAAATTTAATAATAATAATAATAATGTGCTCAAGCTGGGCGCAGTCCCAGCAATCTCAGCACTCAGGGAGGTAGAGGCAGGCAGATCTCTGTGACTTCGAGGCCAGCCTGGTCTACAGAGTGAGTCCAGGACAGCCAAGGCTACATAGAGAAACCATTTGAGGAAGAAGGAAAAAAAAAAAAAAAAAGAATTTGCTCAAAACCGTGTACTAGTCCGGAGAATAACCAAGAGTCTGCAATTAAAGTCTCACTTAAAATCCCTGATCATTCCATTATTCCATGCTGCTTTCCTTGATGCACCCCAGTTTATCACAAGTTCAGCCACCCGCTTTTACTAGACATAGTCTCTACACAGAGACACAGCCTGCAAACAGAAAACCTTCCCCTTCCTACCCTTGCCACGTTATCTTACCTGCTTTATAGTTTACCATTGTAAGGGGGGCTTTGAGAAATCCCCAGCTTTTTAATAAATCTGCAGAGCATAGGATTCTTTGGGGTGCGCGTGGGGAAGGTAAATTTATTACAATGTAATCAGTAAATGCCAGACTTTAGCATTTCTGAGTTGGGTATAAAAGATTACCACTATAACTGAAAAGTGTTTTGCAAATAAACAGACCTACAAATACATCACTACTTAGAGACTAAAATATGGAAGTATGAAATGTCAGGTACACCCAGTGGCCAGGGGCTCTCTATGGTGAGCAGGGCATATGCTTTAACACTGGGTCCTACATGAATGTATCTGGCCCCTATAATTTGCTACACAACCACAGGGTACTTATCTCCAGCTACAAACTAGAAATATGAAATGACGCAGAAGACCATACTAACCTCACACATTACTATGAGACTCACGGGCACTGATGCACACCTGCCTTATGCCTGGTACACAGTATCTTTTCAGTAAATGCTACCTCCCTTCTTTTCAGATAAAATTCCCTCATAGCTGAAGCAATATTTTTTTTTGCAATTTTTCTAAGAATGATAAATATAAGGGCTTCAATTTTCTTTTGCAATAAAGATCGCATTCCAATTATACTCATTACTCTTTGTGGGTGTGGTTCGGAGCCAGGATCTCACTATGTTGCTCAGGCTAACATTTAACTCCATATCCTCTTGCCTTGGTTTCCCAAATACTGGGATTATAGGAATGTGCCACCACATCTGGCTTATTTATTAGTCAATGATGCCACTGTCAGAGAGAAAGAATGTGATGTTTAACATCAAAATCAACAAAAAATAACATGGTTAACCTGAAGATAAATGTGTGATTTATTTGATTGCTTCAAACACTGGAAACAGTTAACAAGCCCTTCTAGGAATTTTGTGTGTGTGTGTGTGTGTGTGTGTGTGTGTGTGTGTGTGTGTGCGCACGCACAACTTTATGGAGTTGGGTCTCCCACCTTTACATGGGTTCCCAGGAGCTGAACTCAGAACTGGTTTACACAGCAAGCGTCTTTACCCTGTGAGCCATCATAGCCCTCCCCCAGCAAGGGGCCTATCGATTAAGCAATTGCTGGCTAGAAATTAAATTAATGAGCCAAATGTGCTTGCACAGACTTTAATCCCAGTACCTGGGAGGCAAAAGCAGGCAGCTCTCTGTGAGTTAGAAGTCCATCCTGGTCTACCTAATAAGTTTCAGGGCTTATATTGAAAGACCCTTTCGCAATAACAACAACAAGAACAACAAATCAATAAGGGAGCAGGGTAATAGCAGTTTCCCTGGAATTAAAACATTCCCTTCTGGGGTACATAGAGAGAGACTGTTTCCCCTCAAACAAAACAGAACAAAAGCACTTGCCGTAAAAGTCTGAGGACCTGAGTTCTATCCCAAGACCCTAATGGTAGAGGAAAAGAACTGCTCCCACTAATTGTTCTGTCCCTCACACATTCCCCCCAATAAATAAATGACTGGGCTTTTTTGTTTTGTTTTTAACAAGAAGACATTCAATACAGGATTCGAGTCAGAGAGCAAGCTTCCTGTATCTGCAGTCTGACCACCTTTAGATCAAAAGAAATCTGTCCATTCTGAAGTGAAAGGTCAGAAGAACCAATGCAAGGTGCTGTGTTCACAGACATGGGAACCTAACACTACCCCTGTCTACCTGTTTCAGAGCTGGTGCAGAAATCTCTTAGGAGAGGCAAGTGACAGCACTTCATGAGCACTTGTTGCCAACAGCTGAAGGGCAGAAGCAGAGAGAGAGAAACAGAACTGCTGATGAGACATTCCAACACTAAATTTGTGTGTGAGTGTGATCATTTCATCTTTTAGCTCCACGTAGTAGGCTGTGTGAGGCATGCACCTCTGTAATCCAGAATGTGGAGACTAAGCTAAGAGCACTGAGAGTTTGGGACCACTGAGGCTACACAGTGAGACCCTGGCTCAAAACAGCCAAGAAGCTGCTTCTTACAGCTGTTAACACCTGAAAGAAAAACAGAGGTCATCAATGCTGCACTACTCACTAATGTGTTACTGCCTACAAATGGCAGCAGCCCAACCTATTCTGACCCCCTACAATCTGTACTTGTGGTGGGGTTTCAGCTCTTCAGAACCCTTTACCTACTCAATGATAACGTTGTTGGGATCGAGGTCTTTCCCAGTTCCTTGGTTGACAACTTTCATGGAGAGGGACACTTTTATTCTATCATTTTTCATCTGAAAAAGACAAAAAAAGAGTCACCAAAACCCTTTTGTGTGTGTGTGTGTGTGTGTGTGTGTGTGTGTGTGTGTGTGAGAGAGAGAGAGAGTATGTGTGTGTGTGTGTGTGAGTGTGAGTGTGTGTGTGTGTGTGTGTGTGTGTGTGTTGGAGGTTTTTCCTGTGGGTGCATGTGGGTATAGAGGCCAAAGGTTAACCTAGTAACAATCATTCCTCTGGAACCCTTACCTTGTGCTGTGAGAACTGGAACTCATCCCTTCAGCCACGCTGGCTGACCAGCAAGTCCCTGGGATCCTCAGGCTGCACCCCCTTAGCTGGGACTGCAGGAGTGCACCACAGACACACCTAGCTTTCAACTTAGGTGCTAGTGTAATTGAACTCAGGTCTACATGCTTGCATGCAAGCATCTACCAACCAAGCTATGTTCCCAAGCCTCCAAACCAAAGCACCTGACCACTGATTTGTAATGCCTCAGAGTCTAACTTGTAAACATCATGGCAAACACTAACCTCAAATGGACTAGGTATTAAGACACTGGGAGTACAGGAAGTAGGAAGAGCAGACTTAATGGCAGAAGAGATAGAGGAAATAATCTCCATCCACCCTATCCTGGAGGTAAAACAGAAGCTGGGGCCAGTGAGATGGCTCAGTGGGTAAGGGTGCCTGACATGAGCTCAATCCCAGGATCCACACGGCAGAGGGAGAGGAGGACTTTAGCAAGCTGTCCTCTGATCTCCACACATACTGTGGCATGTGGGGACAGACAGACAGACAGCTGACATGCACACATCCTCCTGCCTCAGCCTCCTGAATGCTAAACTTACAAGGGTATGCCACCATACTCAGCTCTGGTCTTATGGCTACACTGACACACTCAAACTTTTTTTCAGCTTTTGAATAGCTTCCATGGCTTTTTGTTTGCCATTCCCTAGAAGAACACAGAGGACAAACATCCCCATGCCTGCACTGCCCACTGCATTCCATGGCGCCAAATTCTAGGGGGGAAAATGATTGTGGATTATGTATCCTCTTCATTCTGGCTTAAGTTGAAGTGTATTTGACAAGTACTCTTTAAAGCCACAGGAAGGAGTAAACCTCCTCCTTGGTTATTTTCTTTCTAAACCTCAGGAAGAGAGTTTTATGAACACACACACCTGCATCACACTTCTATACTTCCTACAGATTTCTCCTAAATCTGTAGGACACACAACCCGAAGATACAAACTCAAGACAGATGACTGGGGCAAAATTGAAAAATAAGAATGTCAGCCACCATGAACATTTCCACACTCACCATCACAGAATTCCAATAAAACACCAGCTTTTTATAATCCTTTCGAACCACATGAAGTGACAAAAAACTTTACCTCTCGGCCAATAAGCTTCACCCACACTTTGTCTCCAACATCTACTATCTCAGAAGGCTTATCCACACGACAGGATGACATGTGAGTTCGATGGACCAGACCTGAGCACAAGGAGAGAAATAAAACTTAGACTCTGAATGCATGGGTAGGAAAAAGATAGAAGTTGAGGAATACAGGGAAAATTTTAAATTTTCGATGAAAATGTTACATAGATTAAAACTACAAACTAATTTAAGACCACCCTTTAACCTAATCAACCACCAACATTGCTTAAATTTTATTTTACTTTATCTATATGCGTGTTTTGTCTGCATATATGTGTGTATACCATCTGTGTTTCCAGTGCCCAAAGAGGCCAGAAGATGGTGCTACATCTCCTAGAACTGGAGTTACAGACAGCTGTGAGCTACCATGTGGGTGTTGGGAACCAAACCCTGGTCCTCTAGAAGAATAACCAGTACTCTAAACCACTGAGCTGTCTCTCCAGCCCCAATAAAAGTTGGTTCAATAACTGCTTGCCTGGGGTAGAGCTCAGCAGGAGAACACGTGCTCGGAATGCACTAGACTGAGCATTCAATTTCTAACAACAAAAGATAGAAGAAAAAAAAAAAGAAACACTATTCAGTGTTACAAATATGTAATAAAATAACATCTAAATACAGTGCTGAGTTTTGTTTTCTATGACATTTGGGAGTTAACCCGAGCCTCCTGGATGTTAGGCATGTATTCTACCATTGAGCTACATCCCCAACCCCTCACAAGATTTATTTTTGATTACATGTCTGCATGTTTGTATGCCAGGTGTGTCTGTATGTGCAGGTGCCCAGAGAAGCTAGAAGAAGGCATCATATCCCCTGGAGCTGAAATTACGGGAGGTGTGAGCAACCCAACATGAGTACTGGGAAAAAAAAAAAAAAAAAAAAAAAAGGACTCAAGTCTTCAGTAAGAGCAGAAATTGGTCTTAATTGCTGAGCCATCTTTTCAGCCCCATTCATACAGGTTAGACAGAAATACTAATTGGTAAAATTCCTTAAAAGCAAAGGCATAAAGACGTTACAGCTTTGACTTTATCCTTCTGTGGTGTTTATCCTTTCTCCTTTTGGGACCTTGCATATGCTAGTCAAATGCTACCACTGGACAAGGTATTCATCCCTTTGATAGAAAAACATCACTGGGATTGTTCTCAAAGGAAAAAAAAATTCAATAGAGGCAAAAACCTGTGGGCAAAAACATTTGAGGTATTATTAGCTATGGATGTTAAAAATGTAAGAATTGTAGTTGTGTGGGTGGTTGGTGCACGCCTCTAAACCCAGCACTTTAACCTCAGGAGGCAGAGGAAGATGAATTCTCTGAGTCCAAGGACAGCCTGGTCTACAGAGGGAGATCCAGCACAGCCAAGGCTACACAGACAAACCCTGTTTTGAAAAACAAATAAAAAATTAAGAACTGAAGCTGGAGAAATGGCTTAGAAGTTAAGAGCATTTGTTGCAGGTACTAGGGAGATGGCTTGGTGGTTAAGAGCACTGGCTGCTCTTCCAGAGGACTCAGGTTCAATTCCCAGCACAACAATGCAGCTCACAATTGTCTCTATCTCCAGTTCCAGGGGATCCAACAGCCTCACACAGAGAGACATGTAGGCAATACACCAATGAACATAAAACAAATTTTTTTTTTTTTTAATTTTTAAAAAAGAGCACCTGTTGCTCTTCCAAGGAAGGCTTGCTTTCTCAGCACCTACACAATGGCTCAAACATCTGTAACTCCAGTTCTTAGGGTGGGATTCATGCTTTCCCCCAGCTTCTGAAGGCACCAGATTCACATGTGTTCTACAGACATGCAGGCGAAATACTCATATGCATAAAATGATATGATAAATAAATCTAAGAAAACGTTAATGTAAGATTTAAGGTGGGTTCGGTGGCTACACTTGTTAGTCCAATACTCAAAAGACTGAGACAAGAGGATCACAAGTTTGAGGCCAGCCTGATCTACACAGTGAGTCTAAGACAGCTTGGGTGGTAAATTGAAACCCAATTTCAAACTAAAAAGAACAACAACTCTAAATCCACTTTAATAACTAATAATTGGAAAACATCTCAATGAAGGTAAATGTGTCAACTGGAAAAGGAAACAACTGAATTAGGTATAGAATATTACAGTTGATGTTAAGCGAAAAAAATATAAAAAGTACTTTAAAAAAAATAGTCTCACTATGTAGCCAAGGCTAGCCTTCTGATTCAACTACAGGTCTGTGCTACATATAGCAGCAAAGTACTATTTTTAATATATTAAATTGTTTAGAATAATAATTGGTGAAAACAAAAAAATAAGAGACATAATTTAAGGGGGCTGGTGGGATGCTCAATGGTTTAGAGTACTGGCTGCTCTTCTAGAGGTCCTGAGTTCAATGCTCAGCAGCCACATGATGGCTCACTACCATTTATAAAGGAATCGGATGCCCTCTTCTGGCATGAGGGTGTACATGCAGACAGAGCACTCATACATTAAAAAAGAAACATTATTAAAGTTAGAATTAACTTCTAGAAGTTACTTAACAATAGCTATTAAAAATAACTAGGCTGGGGGAACACTTGCCTAATGTGTAGGGTCCTGAATTTTTTTTTTTTGGGGGGGGGCCTGAATTTGATCTGTAAAATTATGTAACTAAAATAGTGTCAACTTTGGCTGGGCATAGTACCCCACACCATTAATCCCAGCTCTTGAGAGGCAAAGACAGGCAGATCTCTGTGGGTTCAAGGCTGGCCTGGTCTACACGATGAGTTCCAGGACAGCCAGGGATGTATATAGAATGTCTCAAAAACATAAAGCACAAAAACAATAACTTTTTAATTATTCCTACATTGTGTGTGCATGTGAGTACAGGTACCTACAAAAAACCAGGGTGTCAGATACCCCCAGAGCTGGATTCACAGGTGGTTATGAGACACCTGATATGGTGGGACTTGAACTTGGACTCTTTAAAAGCGGTCCATGCTCTTAACCGCCAAGCCATCTCTCCAGCCCCTTAAAATAACTTAAAATATGCCTTTCCTGACTGTTGAAGGTGAATTCCTTTAGACAACAACCTTCTTTCTGTATCCCAAGGTAATCCCCAGATGTGGGCACAAGACTGTCAGGGCAATCAAGGTATCCTACCCTTGACCATAGAACCTGGTTGGTTCAGAGAGAGACACAAGAAACCAACTGTATCAATCATCTGTCTCAAAATACCCACCAACTACAAAATGCTGTAAACACCCAGCTTGACCAGCAGGTGGCATGAATCTGCCATAGGAAAGTAAAGAACGCCTACACCAAGACAGTCTAGACTTAAAACCTGTGCTAAGTCACCTGTATGCCAAGCATGTGGGAGAGTGGTCAGAGCTTGAGGACAGCCTGGGCTATATATGGAGACCCCTTCTCTAAAGGCAAAACAAAGTATAAACACCTGCTACACCTGATGCTAACCAAGGAGAAAACTAGAAGTCCCCGGCAAAACATGTGCCTGCCACCTGGCTAACAGTCTCACCATAACCACTTCTAGGTATCTGACCTAAGGAAATAATCAGTTTGGATTATGGTATGCACCCAGGCTGCCGTTTCACCATGAAGCAGACCCATCTACTTGCCTTAGCCACCTGAGTATTGGGGGGCTACAGATGAATGCTGCCATGCCAGCATAATGCATCATGACAGAATTTAGAAGCAAACACCCAACACAAGCACAGTACTGCCACAATCCTGGACAGTCACCAGAAGAGTCAGCCAAACACAGCAGTGATTCATTTCGTAGTAAAAATGTGTCCAGTACTGTGCACACCCAGCATTTTCCATGGTAAAATAAAAGGACAATATAAAATTATATAATGTGACTACAAATGCTTAAAATGTACCTTTAAAATGTTAAGGGATTTCTCAAAAATGCTAATGGTGGATACAGTAAATGTGCTGGCTAGTTTTATGTTAACACAGCTAGGGTCAATCTGGAAATGGGAACATCAACCAAGAAAACCCCCCAACAGCCTTCCATATGAATGCAGGAAGATGGTCCAGGATGCTATAAGAAAGCAAGCTAAAAAAGCCATGAGGAAAAAGTCAGGAAGCAGCCCTCCTCCATGGCTTCAGTTTCATTCCTGGCCTCCAGGTTCCTGCCTTGACTTCCCTCAGTGATGGAATATGAGAGACATGAGCTGAAACAAATCCTTTCCTGGCAGGTTAGTGGTGGCAAATGCACTCGGGAGGCAGAGGCAGGTAGATCTTGAAGTCTGAGGGCAGATTGGTCCATGGGACAGCTAGGGCTACACAGAGACCCTGTCTCAAAAAACCGAAACAAAAGTACCCTTTCCTCCCTAAGTTGCTTTTGTTATGTTGAAGACAGTATTACAGATGAACTCTTTCACTTATCTTCAAACAGAAAAAAATTGGAGATTTATTTCCGGAGAAAATGAAAATAAGTAATTATTTTTAGGCATAAGCCAGGAATTGTGTCTAAAACAAACAGCCTTGTTCAGTAAATTGAGAGACATTTTAGTGTTGCTTTTGAGATGGGTTCTTGCCATATAAACCAAGCTGGCCTCATACTCATGAGGCTTGTCTCAGACTCCAAGAGCACTTATGAACAAGCACCACCTCATGCTGAAAAGTCTCTTCCTCTCTCACAAATCTGTATGCTCACACTGAGTGTTTGTATACGCCCAAAGTTCAATGTGTTCATCCCTTCTTTTGGGGGTTCTATTAGAAGCTGTTTTCTTTATCCATGGCCAAGGTTCTTTTACATCTAAGACAGGTGATGCTATAGATGGATATTCCTTCTCCAAAATGCTTACTATGCAAGTAATAGAAGCTTTGTTTTAATTAGGTCATCATAAAATCTAAAAACTGTGTAAATTTATGCCTCTGGGTTTTTACCCCCCGACCATGATAACATAATGCCTAACTAAAAATTCTGAAGAAGAAATTCACAAGTCCTGAAAAGAAAGGAACCTCGCACTTGGGCAGTTTGTCTACAGCAGTCCTCGGGAGACTGAAATCCATTCCATCCCTCTATCATTAATGGACCCTGTAAAGGAAACTGATGTGCCTACGACGACTGATAGAGCAC